CTCCCGATGGGGCTGCTCCGGGGTGAGCGCAGAGTGGGGGCTCAGGCGGCCACCTCCTTAGGGAACACGTCCCCACGGGAGAGAGGATGTGTCCCCGAGACTGCGTCTTTCCGGAAAACGCCCACAGTTCCGTGCTTTCCCGGCCTGCCCCGGAGGGCTCGCACCCCTGGCTCCCACCTCCTTGGGGCTATTCTTGGCCTTGGCAGGCCTGATGTGGCGGAGTGTGCGGTGTCCCCTTTAATTTGGGGTCTGAAGCCGGCTGAGGCCGGAGGGTAATTATGTGTGCAGAGCCGTTTATGGAAAGAGCTCCGAAAAGAGTCCGTAATGAGAACTGACTAAAAATACCGCAGCCTGAGACCTGGGCCTCCTCTCGGCAGCGCCGAGATTTCTGGAGGGGGAAGCCTTTCGGGGTGCAGAATCGATCGGTGATCAATTCCTCGGCTCCCCCGTGGGCCTGCACCGGCCTAGGGGACCCGGGTCTATTTTGGTCTGAAGTGGGCCCGTCGGCCTCCATTACCGATAGGACCAGCCAGACAGGCCCAGCCTGTCCGCCTCCGGGACCCCGGCGGGGGGCCTGCCCTCTGCCTCGGGGCCGGCAAGTCTCACAGGAAAGTGAGACCCGTGCGTGGCCTCTGATGGAGACGCCGTGACAGGAAGCCTCTCCCAGACCAGCTGCAGTGCCCTCGCCCACAGCTGGAGTGCTGGGCCCAGCCACTGTCCTGGGGACCAGGAGCTCTTGGGAAGAAGGGGACGGAGCCTCCTGCTTCCATTTCACATTGCTTGGTCCCTGTCCTCCAATTGCTCACTGTCCATGGGGGTGGATGAACCGGGCACAGGGGCCCCTGGGATGGGGGAAAGGGCGAGACCAGCAGGCTGCTCTGTGGGGTCAGAGGAGGGGCCTTTACAGCTGGACTGAGAGGAAAGCAGCCTTCAGACACGGGCTGGGGCCACCCAGAAGACAGTGGCTTCCGGAGGTTTGGGAGGGCGTGGGGAACTGGAAAGCCCCGGAGGCCGTATGGACGGGCTGGGCCAGCTCAGGAAGGTCTGGAACAGAGCTGAGCTCACGCCCCGCCAGGGGCCCCGCCAGGCTTGGGGAAGGGTTTGAAGGCATGAAGGACTGGCGGGCAGGTCGGAAGATTCTGTTCTCTTAACAGCCTCTCTAGGCTGGAGCAAGAGGGGGGGTTTCTGTAGTCTTACTTTTGGGACAGAAACAAGATAGGTCATCTGGGTGACTCAGTTTTCTCCCAGACACGAAAATAGCCGAAGCCTTTGCTGGTGTCGGGCTGGGGGGTGCAGGGTGTGGCATCTGTGAGCGGCAGGTGCAGGGCCTCGGAATGTTGACGGAGGTCGTGGGTGTGGAGGTTGCCTCCTGCTCACAGGGCCCTTCCTGCAAACGTGGGACCCGGGGTTGTGTGACTGGGCTGGCGGAGAAGGCCCAGGGCCCCATTCGCACATGGTGACTCATGACTGTTATTGTCCTGGAAGCCACATTAAGGCAATTCAGAGACTAAATGTGTGTGCTGCTTCCCCAGACAGAAGCTGGTTCAGTGTTTGAACATTTTGGGCGGCCTTTGTAATTTTGAGGAAAATAAACATTTAGAGGTCCCTATTGAGCAAGGCGTAGCTTTGTCTGTCTCTCTGCCCAAAGCATAGCTTTGGGCACATGGCTCTCATCCTTTGCTTTTGTGTCCTCGGGATCGGTGTGTCCAAGGATAAATTCATATATAATTTTGCTAGGGTATTGCAATAGGGTATTGCCAGGTTCCTGTCCACAGCATTTCTACCAGTAACATGTGTAAATGTTTATGTCTGCTCTTCCCTATGACTCAAAGGAATGCAATACTGACTATCCTAAGCACTGCCCACCCCTTTCCCACTACTCCTGACCCCAAACCCCTCTATATACCACATACAATAGATAGCACCCCTTCTTTTACTTGTTTCTTTGTTTATATTCCCTCCCCATTAGACTGTAAAGTACATGAATGCAGAGACCTGACTTCTGTCTTGTTTACTGCTGTATTCCATGTCTAGACAGACTCTTATCTATAATAAGAATTATTTAAAATCCTCACCTGAGGATATGTTTATTGATTTTAGAGAAAGAGGGAGGGAGGGAGGGAGGGAAGGAGGGAGGGAGGGAGAGAGAGAGAGAGAGAGAGAGAGAGAGAGAGAGAGAGAGAGAGAGAGAGAGAGAAGAGAGAAAGAGAGAAACATTGATTGGCTGCCTCCCCCATGGGCCCTGACCAGCGATCATACCTGCTACTGAGGTGTGTGCTCTGACCGGGAGTTGAACCCATCACCTTTTGGTGCAAGGGATGCGCTCCAACCAACCGAGCCACACTGCCAGAGCCATGCAGTAAGAATTTGATATGTTTGTTGCTAAATTGAGCTTGATAAATTAACGAATAAATAAGCAAATAAGCACAGAAAAATGTCACTCAGAGTCACCCCCTCCCGCCACCCCACAGCGTGGCCTCTGGGCAGGATCACATCTTGGCACAAAGTTGGGAGATTTCAAGTCAGGTTCGTCCTAAACTCCCGTTGAGTGGTCACCCGCCCAGCCCATTGCTTCTGTACAAAGGCCTGTCCTGGCCCATGAGGGAAGCTGGGCAGCATCTTTGTTCCTGGTGCTCAGAGGAGGAGGCAAGCCCTGGGGACGGACATGGATGGCGGGGCCAGGTCAGGCGGGCACTCCGAGCTGCCGGAGCTGCTTCGCTGGTGAAAGCAGCTGGGTCTGCACAGTTAACGGAGGAAATCAGGGCCGGAAAATGCTTTCTCAGAAGACCACCTTGGGGCAACATCTCTCCTAACTCAAAGCTGCCAATCCACAGGGGCCCATCTCCCACCCTCCCCGCTGACCGCTGACTGCTGACCGTCAGATGAACGAGTTGCTCTCTTTACCCAGTTCCACTCTCAGGACATTTCACCAACTTTTGATGAAAGCAATTTTATAACATTGTCCCATTTCCGGGATTTGCGAGGAGTAGCCAGGGGGCAGTTTCCTGTGCTGGAGCCACTGGTGGTTCATCAAAACACAGGCCAGACATTCGGAAGGGGAGTCAGTTCAGGTGAACAAGGTGCTCCTGACCCAGCAGGGCAGGGAGGCTGCCTGGGGTGCCCACGTGGGGTTGGCAGGTTTGCAGCTGGCTCCCTCAGTCCCCGGGTCCAACATGGGAATGAGCCTCAGGCCTGCAGACAGCGTCCCAGTGACCCACCCGTCAGTCCCCCTGCCTGGGGGCAGATGCTCATACGATGCTTGGAGAGGGTCCGGTGGAGGGTGTGAAGGAACGACAGCCTTCACTTTGCCACCCCCTGTGACGGCCAGCAGCCTGGGCCTCTCCCATCCCGCGGGCCTGGGTTCTTACACGGCCACGTCATGGACATGGGCGTGTGGTCACAGAATCGCGGGAATCGTCACCAGTGTTGAGCGTGTGCATGTGTCTGTGGAGGCCCCTGCTCTCCACGCCCGGCCTGTGCGGGAGGACCCGGTGCCACCGGTGTCTCTGAACCCGCCTGGCTCCCGTGGGCACTTGCTGCGTGTCCCACTTCCTGCCTGACCATGGACACTCTTTCCTCTCCTCCCGTCTGGGAATGGAACACTCATCTCCTGCCCAAACATGTGTGTCTGCTGGCCCGCCCAGCACAGCTGTTTGCCCGGCCACCACCGGACCAGGCTCCCATCAGAGGACAGGACGTGCTCCCACATCCGCCTCTGCCACCAGCCAGTGACTGTGGTCACTGGGCCCAGTAGCCAGAGAGGCTTTTTAAAGAGACTCGCAGACGTGTAATTAAAATCTCGGTGTTGGGTTTGGGGGAAGGTGCTGGGCGGCTCCCGCCCCTGCTTTCCGGAAACACAGATTTGCAGTGTTTGAAAGTGACCAGAGCTAAAGTGAGACGGCCCTAAATACACTGTCCTGGGCGTTTCCGGCCGCCGGGCGATGGGGATCAATTCAGCATAAGCGGCCTCTCGCCCAAAGGATTGGACCAGGCCCCGCAGCGGAGCCACCTGGGGCCCCCTCCAGCCCATGCTTCACCCCCCTCCACACACAGCTTCCTCACCACACCCTGCTGCCTGCTGCCCCGAGCCCGGGCCCCCCACCGGCCAGAGGCACAGCCATGCTCCTAGGCCGGAACTCCAACTCGCCTCAGTCAGGCCCCCGCCAGCCTCACAGCCCGTCCCCCACCCCTCTGATCTGTGGTGGCCCTGGCCCTCTCAGCCTGTGCATTTGATGTCCCCTCTGCCTGGAAAGCCCTCCCTGCCACCTCCCCACCCGCCCAGATGTCATCCCAGCCTCTGGGGCCAGTTCAGATGGCACCTCCTCCAGGAAGCCCGCTCAGATCCCACCACACCACGGGGCCTCCGCCTCCCCGGCACTGACTGGGCCTCCCCAGGGGCTGTCACTCCCACCTTGCTGCTTGTTCCTCCCCATCGCTCCCTCTGGCCCCCTCCTCCTCCCCCCTCCGCGGTGTTCTATGGCTATTGTCTCCCTGTCTGTGCCGTCAGCTCTCCGCTCCAGGCCTTTGCTCACAGTGGTCCCTTCCTCTGCAGCATCCTTGTCCCGTGACCTCGGGGTGAATTCACTGTCCCCTCCAGGCCCGGCCCCACTGTCAGCTGTGAGCATTCACGTCCCATGTTCCGTCCACACCCGGGGGCTCTGAGCACTCAGTCATGTCCCCGCCACCGCGCGGCCTCTTCCCCTCGGTCTGAAGTCCGTCTCCGGAGGAGGGCCTGTCCTCTCTGCCTTATCTGAGGGCCAGAGACAGAGGGGGCTGGGCCGGACCTGCCGGGTGGAGGCTGGGGGCCAGAAACGGGGCCGCCCTTGTTGGCCCCCCTGTGCATCAGGTGCTGTGCTGGGCACCTCGCTGCAGGGCCCTGGGGCTCTCAGCTGGGGGGCAGAGCCGGGGGCAGGCCCGTTCCCCAGGGAGGAAATGCCTCTCCCAGGCTGCACCCAGGAGCCGAGCCCAGAGCCGGAGCCAGCAGCCGCTTTGTCTTGCAGTGGAGCTCGACCGCTCCCGGGGCCACCCGGAGCCCCACTGGAAGGAGTTCCGCTTCGACCTGACCCAGATCCCGGCGGGGGAGGCGCTCTCGGCGGCCGAGTTCCGGATCTACAAGCTGCCCAGCGCCCACCTGCTCAACAGGACCCTGCACATCAGCCTGTTCGAGGTGGCCAGAGAGCGGGCCAACAGGTGCCTGTCCCCCGCCCCCGTCACTCTGGGTGTGTCCGGCCCAGCCCTGGGGACAGACAGGCTTCCTGGGAGCCCCCCTCCGAGAGGAAGGATGCTTGGACCAAGGCCCTGGCCCCTGGCTTCAACCCCTCCCTGCCGTCCTGGCTGTGGGACCTTGGACGGGGCACTGAGCTCCCAGCCTCAGTTTCCCCATCTGTCCCCGGGGGCGGCGCACCTTCCTAGGTAGATGCAGTGAGAGAGGCAGTGAGGCCCCCAGCTCAGGGCCAGGAGGGTCGGCGCCCGGGAGCGGTCCCCAGGGGCACAGGAACACGGAGGCAGCCGTGCGGCTCCGGTTAATTGTTCTTTCGTATCCACAGGGAGTCTGACTTGTTCTTTTTGGATCTTCAGACGCTCCGAGCTGAGGACGAGGGCTGGCTGGTGCTGGACGTGACAGCAGCCAGTGACCACTGGTTGCTGAACCGCAGCAAGGACCTGGGACTGCGCCTCTACCTGGAGACAGAGGACGGTGAGGACGGGCGGGCAGCGCCCCTTCTCCGCGGGCTCTGGTCAGAGGGCCCGGGCTGCAGCCCAGCCCTGCAGCTTTCTCCCTGTGACCCCGCAGGTTGCTTACCCTCCGAGCCGGTTTCTCACCTGTGGGAGGAGCCTTCAGGCATTCTCTCACCCACCTGGGGTTTAGGGCGGAGCCTCCTGCATCCCAGGCAGTGGGCATAGGGAGCCCGAAGGGGGCCCCAGATCGCGTGTGTGACTACAAGGGCCGCGTGGAGGGAGCAGAGGGTCCAGGAGAGGCTGGAAGGAGAGGAGCCGAGAGAGGCAGCAGTGGGCACCCCGCGTTGGGGAAACCAGCGTGAGGGGGCAGTGCTTAGGGAGCTGCGTGAGCGTCACAGCGTGGAGGACGGCAGGGTCTGATCTAGCTTTCCACAGGAGATCCCTCAGGGAGGTGTGATCACTCCCCCCTTAGTGTGGGCAGCCCTGAGGACAGTGTGTCCGGAGGGGACGTAACTGGACGGTGGGAAAGCTGACCTGCACCACCTCATCCAGGCCATCAGGGCTCCTCTGGAAACTCATTGGGCTCTCGTGTCCCCTGGGTATGAGGGCATGGGAGGGCTCTTCTCCTCCGGGGTCTTCTCCCCAAACCACAACCCCAGTGTCACCATGAGAAAAACATCAGACAAACCGTATTGAAGGGCAGCCTGCAGAAGGCCTGAACTGGCAAGGCCATCAAAAGCCAGGGCAGCCTGAGAGTGGCCACAGCCCCGAGGTGCCGGAGGAGCTGTAATGGGTCAGTGCCCGTGGGATCCAGACGGGATCCTGGAGAGAAAAAGGACCTTGAGGAAAGCCGAATAAGTGAAATCTGAGTAAAACATGCTGTTTAGGTAAGAAGGTATCAATATTGGCTCATTAGTTGATGCAAATGCACCGTAGTAATTGAAATTTATCATTTTTAGGGGACACTGCGTCTGGGTATAGGGGAATTCTCTGTATAAGCACCTTTGCAATTTTTTTGTACATCTCAACTATTGTAAAGTAAGAGCTTTACTTATTGTCTGCACAAAGTGAGCACCCTGACCTCTGAGAGGTGTAAGCTGTGGGGGAGGGGAAGGGAAGCCAGAGAGGCCGGCAGCCAGTGTCAGGGTGAGAGCTGGGGGCGGGCTGGTAGCCTCGGAAATGGAGACACGTGGGTAGAGGGATCGGGAATAAAGTAGACAGAGCCATTGGAATTTTTTAAATATATATATTTCCTTTTTGATTTCAAAGAGGAAGGGAGGAGAGAGAGATAGAAACATCAATGATGAGAGAGAATCATTGATTGGCTGCCTCTTGCATGCCCCCCATCCAGAGGAAGAGGAAGGGGAAGGCGGGGATCCCAGTGTCCATTTCACAGGCTGCCTGGCCGTGTTCTCCTGGCCCCTCAGGCTTTCTGCCACCAGAAGGACTGCCCTCTCAGAGGGAAGTGACTTAAACCAAACAGAGGGAAGGCAGACGTGTATCCGTGTGCTCTGTGGCCTCAGAAAGCGCTGCTGCAGGCAGCCGGGCCTCCGACGCCTCTTCACCGTGATTCTCCATGAAAGTGTGCAGCTGGAGGTGACCCACAGGTCTCTTCTCTCGTGAACGGGGGAGATGTCCAGGGAGGGAGTGACCACCAGAGGATGGCAAAGGCGCCACTTTACTAGTGCCGTGGAAACACACCTCACAAGGTCAGGTCTAGAGGTAGTGCCTGGGCCCCAGAGGCTCCTAAGCACCCATCTAGGTGCTTAGCACCCATTTAGGTGCTTTTCTGGAAAGGGGCCTGTCAGAGGTGGGCAGCCGAGGGCCCACCAGGAAGACGGCCAGGGGAAGGCGGGAGCCTGCTCAGGATGGAGGGAGAGGAGCTCTGGGATCTGGAAGGAGGGCCAGGGGGCCATTCCCAGGCCTCCCAGGTTAGACCGTCTGAAAAACGGGGGTCAGTCCCTAGTCCGGCCCCCCTGCCCCAGACCGGCCTCTGGGGGCGTGCTGGGTGGCAGGATTGTCCTGGCTGGTTGCAGCTTGGGGACCTTGAGCAGGTGTTGCTCACTGGGCCTCAGTTCCTGCTTCTGTGAAATGGAACCAGGACCAGCTGCTCCAGGACCCTCAGGCAGGCTCCTCGTGCCCACAGGCTGCCTCCGGGACGGGCGGCCTCCGTGGTGCTGCCTAGTTGATCTGTGTCCTCCCTGCACCCAGGACCCCAATGAGATCCTCACAGACAGTTGCACAAAGAAAAGCAAACAGTGAGCACAGCCCAGGGCAGGCCCTCCGGGCCCAGGGGCAGGGCTGTCCAGGGAACGGACTGGGCAGCGGCACACACAGGCTGGAGGGCTGCTGGGCCCTGGGCGCCCCTGAGTCAGCCAGGCTGTGGAGCTCCACTCCGGTGCCACCTGACAACAGGCGCCCATCTGCTCGTGCTCCGTCGCAGCCTTGTCCTGGCCTCACTGGCCTGTCCCCTCTGCTCGCAGAGCTTCCATGTGGCCTGTGGCCTGTGTCCTCACAGTTCCCCGCGTCCTCCTGACTGCGACTCGCCGTGACCCAAACTCCCAAATGCTTCTGTCTGGGCTCCTTCCAGCAACAGCGCCGGCAGCGTCGGCTCCTGTCTGAGCAGGTTCAGTCCTGCCGGAGCCTCTGATGGGCCAGAGCCTTGTTCTGTGGTGGTGATGTCATAGGTCAAAGGTTGGCCTTAGGATTCATTAGGTGTTGGATTCACTAAGGCCCGTGGACACAGGTCTAAAGCTCAGCTGGTTAAGAGCTGACCTTTGAGCAGGAGTGTGGGAGGGGCTGGCCATGTCCTTGGCCTTTGTGTCTAATGGAGGCTCATGTTAGACCTGCTGACGGCACAAGTGTACATACTACGTGTGTGCATCTGTATGTGTGTGTATGTGGACATGGGTGTGCGTGTCCGTGTGTGTCCATGGTGCAGCGTTGAGGGGAACGCACACGGCAGTGGAAGGGCGGTCACCGTGTTTGAGAAACAAAAACGAGTTGGTTTTCACGCTCCTGCTCACGTCCCACAGGAAAAGAAAGTGAAGAGGTTCTGTCTCATTCTCTTCTTTACAACCAAAGCCAGGAAGTAACCTACACGCCTAGCGATAAGCTAGTCTCTCAGTGAATTCTGGGAACGAGGGACATTTTCCTCAGAAGCTCCCCACATTGTTTCATTGCTGCGACGGTGACAGCATTGCGAGGTTTCGGGGGACAGGAGGAGGCCAGGAGAAGGGGTCCTGGTGGCGTGGATGTGGCAGGCTGAGGAGCGTTCTCACAGCAACCTCAGAGGTCGTGGTAAAACCCGTGTTTCTGGACCCGCCATTCCAAGGCGGAGGCCCCAGCATGGCCCTGCCCGCGGCCTCCTTCCTTCCCAACCAGGACCCGGGCCCGTGGGCAGAGCGTGGCTCCGGGATCGGACCGGCCGGGGCTGAGGCCGCTCTGGGCCTCTGGTCCCGCTTCTCCGCCCGCTGAGCCTGCCTGTCGGCGGCGGCAGGAAGCAGGAGGGCCTCGCCCTGGCAGCTGCGCCAACCAGCCGGTGCCCTCGGTCCCCGGGACGTCCCGGAGGAGGTGGGAAGGGGTCTCGGGCCCAGGAGTCCTCAGACCGCGGTGGGCGGCCACCGTGTGGCTCTGACGGCACTGATGCCGGCCCTGGTCCGCGGGCCTCCTCCCGGCTCCTCAGCCCGCTGCTCGGCCGGGGCTGCTGTGGATCGGCCTTGGATGCGGGCAGCCAGCACGGGGCCGCCTCGGCCGCAGCCTTCACGCTCCCGGCCCCGGGCCCCGCAGAGCCGCTGAGCCCGCCCAGAGCCGGCCCTGGTGACCCCTCCTCTCTCTGTCGCAGGGCGCAGCGTGGATCCGGGCCTGGCCGGGCTGCTGGGGCGACGGGCCCCGCGCTCCAAACAGCCGTTCGTGGTCACGTTCTTCAGGGCGAGCCCCGGCCACGGCCCCATCCGGGCGCCCCGGGCGGCGCGGCCCCTGAGGCGGCGGCTGCTGAAGAAGACCAACGAGCTGCCGCAGCCCCACCGGCTCCCGGGCATCTTCGGTGAGTCCGGGCCGGCCGGTGGCAGCAGAGCCCTCTGGCCCTCACGAGGGGCCACCCTCCAGCCCCCTCCCGGCACCCCCCTGCCCAGGCCCCTGTGGACGGCCATGCCCTGCCTCTCAGGCCTCCCTGCCCCTGGAGTCCCCTCTGTGCCTCCCCCGCTCCCCAGGCCTCCCGAGCTCCGTCAGAACCGGGTGCCCTTCCCCCGGGCAGCGCCCCCTGTGGGCTCCCTCCCCGGCTCCCTGCGGGACGCACAGTTGTTTGGGGGAAGGTCTCCCACCAGGCGAGACCCTCGGAATCGGAGGGACGGGCCTCACCCCGCCGTGTGCCTCTTTCTTTCATGGGAGTCCGCCCCCTGCTTGGCCTCAACATGAGCCCCTGGACCTGTGCGGGGTGTGGAGGATGGTGGGGGAGGCAGGGGTGTCTCAGGAGGGAAGGGGATGCCCCGCCTGGTGTCAGAAGGGCCCTGGCTGTGTATTGACACCAGGAGGCCCACAGGCTGAAGCCGGGAGGCCGGGCGGGCGGGCGGGCAGGGCTTCCTCTGGAGCTGCTGGGAGCCATCGAAGGCTCTGAGTTGGCCGGACACCAGCAGAGCTGCAGGGACCGGCTCTGTGGGGCCCAGGGGCTTAGTTTCCCATCATTCGCTTTCCCACAAACGTGCCCCGAGGGCATCCCCACCCGGGAGCCCGTGCAGCGGCTCAGAGAGGGCCCGCAGAGACCTCGCCCGTCTGTCCCCGCAGATGGCGCCCACCGCTCCCACGGGCGGCAGGTGTGCCGGCGGCACGAGCTCTACGTCAGCTTCCAGGACCTCGGCTGGCTGGTAAGGCCCCCCTCCCCTCTCACATGACGGCCTCCGAGGTCACGTGTCTCCAGGAGGGGGAAGACTTGGGTTTTTGTGTGTGTGTTTTTCATGTATTATTTTCTTCTGGGTTTTCCAAATGTTCTGAAAGGAGAATGTGATACTTTTATGGTAAAAAGGTGCTTTTTGGTAAAAACTGTGAAAATGGAGACAGTTTTTACTGTCCGAGCCATAAAATGTCAGGGTTACAAAGGGACCCCGAGGCCAGGCTGCCGAGCCTCTGTGCCTCTGCAGGACAGCAGCTGCGGGAGGCGGGGGCGGGGCAGCAGGAGGACCTGTCCGCTGAGGGTCTTGGGGTGGATGCCAGGCTTGGGGGGAAGGAGGGAGGGGGACTGCTCAGGGGGGGCTGAGGGTGAATGACAGGTCCCTGAGGCTGAGGGAGGGAGGGTGAGGGGCAGCCCTGATCCTCCTGTGACAGGTGCTAGTGGGAGGGGCCACATGATGGGACTCACCTTCTTTCATTCCCCACCAGGACTGGGTCATCGCCCCCCAAGGCTACTCGGCCTATTACTGTGAGGGGGAGTGCTCCTTCCCGCTGGACTCCTGCATGAACGCCACCAACCACGCCATCGTGCAGTCCCTGGTCAGTGCCCAGCCTGTGCGGCCGGCCCGGGGCGGGCGCTGAGGAGGGGCTCGGGCAGCCTGGAGGGGATGGGGCGCCTGCTCGGTCTCGGAGGTTCTCACGTGGAACTTGGCTGAGTGCACATGTCGTTCAGCTCCCACACCGTGCAGGAGCGGGTCCCCGTGTGGCCAGCCTGTATCTGCAGACTCACTGCTAGTGTACTCACACACACACATACACATTCACACTCACACACACACGTTCCCTCTCTCTCTCTCTCTCTCTCTCTCTCTCACACACACACACACACACACACACTCATATATTCACACTCACACACACACACACACACATTCCCTCTCTCTCTCTCTATCACACACACACACACACACACACACTCATATATTCACACTCACACACACACACATTCCCTCTCTCTCTCTCTCTCACACACACACACACACACACACACACACACGTGTGCACACATGCAGGTATGTGTGGTGGTCACATGCACACACGGGACCTGCAGGTATGTGTGGTGGTCACATGCACACACGCACAGGACAGATGTGCATTCCACCCGGGTGCCTGTGCACTCTGAACACGTGTGCCCATGTGCACGGGATTGTTCAACCTCCTGTGACGGGCACACGGGGTGAGAGACAGGCGTGTGCTCACCACCCCTCACGGTGAGTCGGGAGAGTCACCCATCAGCCCGAGTGCAGGGCTCTCCTCTCAGAAAGGCTGCATCCCTGAGGCCCGGCTTCTCCGGCTCCCAAGTCAGGACAGGCCTTCCCGCTTCCCTCAGAGCCCATGGCCAGCGCCCGGGTGGTGTTGCCCTGTTCCTCTCACGTGGGCCTTTGAATGCCAGGCCGACACCTCGTGTGGAGGCTGGAGCTGGGAGCAGTGGCCCCGTCCGGTCTGGCTGACATCCCTGCCGCGGCCTCGGCTTCCCCAGTGGCTGCAGAGAGGCTCTGGTTGGGGAACAGGGACAGACTGCAGGGCGAGTCCCCCATCAGGAAGCTTCCCCGGGTCCTGCCGCCCCCGCAGGGCTGGGCTTCACCCGCTCCTGGGCCCTCGGAGCGGCCCCCACACCCACGGCTGGAATCCGGTGTCCTCCCTCTCCTGCCCCCGAGCCCGGGGCCCGTCGGTGGGGCCTGACCTGGAGTCAGTGCTAACTCCGCTCATCCTGCCAAGTCGCAGGACAAATATTTGTGTGGAGCCGAAATAGCCCCACAACCAGGCTCTTTCTGGGGGAGCGGCTCAGGCCGAGGGAGCAGGCTCACCGCCCGGCCCGAGTCCCGGCAGCCCCGGGCCTGTGTGCGCTGCTCCGTCACCGCCCAGTCAGACCCGCCCGGGAAGCTGTCAGGAGGGTGGGCGGTGCTTTGAGAAATGATGGTGTTGAACCCCCAGGGGTGAAGCTAGAATCCGAGGCTTTATCAGTGGCTCCATGAACAAGCTGGGGGGGACAGGCCACAAACAGGGGCCGGACGAGGCATGGTCAGGGTCATTGCAGGAGCCCAGAGGAGCCGGTCAGTGTGGCTCAGAGGCTGAGCGTCGGCCCATGAACCAGGAGGTCACAGCTTGGTTCTTGGTCAGGGCAGGTGCCTCGGTTGAGGGATCGATCCCCAGTAGGGGACGTGCAGGAGGCAGCTGATCAATGATTCTCTCTCATCATTGATGTGCCTCTCTCTCCCTCCCCCTTCCTCTTTGAAATCAATAAGAACATTTTTTTAAAGAAGCCAGAAGAGGGAAGAGTGGAGCGGGTTCTGGGAGGGGGCGGTGCTGCAGGGGCCTCGGGCATAGGACCTGCCATCAGGTGCCTTGTGTGCTGGGACCAGCAGGGCCCTCAGGTCTGAGGGGAGTGGGTGTGCAGGGAGCTGACAGGTGCCCAGGCTGTGCCCTAAGGGCCCAGGGCAGGGAGGGATCAAGGAGAGCAGATTTCCACATCACACCGCCCTGGCTGTGGCTGGAGGGGGGCGGGGCGGGGCCAGGCGCTGGGCGGGGCCGGAGAAGGCCCGGTGCTCACCCTCTGCCTGCCGCCCCCGGCCAGGTGCACCTGATGAAGCCGGACGCCGTGCCCAAGGCGTGCTGCGCGCCCACCAAGCTGAGCGCCACCTCCGTGCTCTACTACGACAGCAGCAACAACGTCATCCTGCGCAAACACCGCAACATGGTGGTCAAGGCCTGCGGCTGCCACTGAGGCCCAGCGGCCGCTGCAGCACCTCCCGCCGGGTCTGCCCCGCTACAGAGGCTGAGACCCTCAAACCCAGCCAGACCACAGAGAGGACTGGCACGGAGACTCCTCAGAGCAACATGTCCATGCCCCTTCCTCCTTCCTGCCAGGGCTGGGTCCTCCCCTGCCTGAGGCTGTGATAGATTCTGGCATTCTGTTCTGGTGGGCGGAGTCATCGGGCCAGGTTCTGCCCCAGCCTGTCCCGCAGTGGCACGTGCTGACTGGCTCTTTGGGGTTGGCACAAAAGTCCTATCAGAGGACCTGCCCTTGCTCCTTGCTGGCTTGGGCTGTGGGCAGATAGGCAATGACCCGCGAGGCACCTGGAGCCCAAGGTGACCCGCTCAGGTCCTCCCGTCTCCCTTGTCAGGGTTTGGCCCACTTCCAGTTGCCTACCCTTCTCAGGGGCAAAAGTAGGCATTTCTGGGTACTTGTTGAAGAGCATGGACTTGCCTTGTGTGTTCTGTATTTTCAGATCTGAATTACCAAACTGCTGGCCACAGGGAACTCCAGGAAAAGCTGAAGGAGTAGCTTGGTTAAGGGCTCAGTCCAAGGGCATTTTTCTTCTGTCTCCCTGCCCTGGATCTGTGTGTCCTTTCTCAGCACGCAGCACATGGAAACTTTACCTTTGGAGAAACTAAAAGTCTTGGGGCATCACTGACCCACCTGTCTGTCGCCGTGTTGAAAGTCGGGAGTTCAGCTCTGTGGGGAAGGATCTTTCTACTGAGCCAAGCGTACATGGTGTAGCCCAGGGTGACAGGGCCCAGCAGATGACATAGCGTTCCTTTCTCTTCTGCATGACAGCATCAATAATCAACCTTGATGCTGTTTTTTTTTTTACCAAATCTGGATAGAATTCCAAGTGATCAGCACAGAACTCCAGGCAGCTGCTTCCAGCACCTTAGAGTTTGCAGGTGAATTGAAACCGTGCCATCTCCTGCTAAGGAGCAATCTGTTCCACCCAGAGAAATGTGTCTGTAACACCGGGCAGCCTGTGGCCAGGTGTGGACCACGGTAGGGCCTTGTCAGCACCTGATGTGTCCAGAAGTTGTCAGAACACAGGCTGGTCACCAAAGTCTGTGTCACCCTGTCTGCTCAGGAGCCCCGTCCTGTGTCTTGGGGCCTGTGAGCCAGAGAAGAGGCCCCTGTCCCGGGGAGTGACGGGCAGTCATTAGGGGAGCTGGGTGGGAAGGTTCCCGGAAACCACTGTCCTCCTTGGAGCAGCCGAGGCGGTGGGAGTGTTTATTTGATTTCGGACTTGCTCACCCTGTAATTTACCTGCTGGAGCAGACAGTCCAGCTGCCTGAACCCTGAAATACCGTGTCGTTAATAGCAGATCCTGGGCCCACCCCAACCCACAGGCGCAGCCCACAGAGGCAGCACGACCCATGTGCCCAAGGACGCACGTCCCTGGTCCCTGGAGTCCACTCTGCCCCCTGAGGGCGGCTCCGGGAGAGCTGGTCTAGGGCAGGGTGGAGGCTGGGCCAGGCGGCAGGACTGGGAGGGATTCTGGGAGGGAGTGCCGAGGAAGAGGCCCTCCCAGGGGCCCACACTATCTTGAAGATATTGAGTTCCCCATCAGCCACTGTAGGGATCTGAGCTTTGGCAAGCCCAGTGGTCCGCAAACTGCGGCTCGAGCAAAGGCCAGCTTAGGAGTACTCTAATTAATAACAATGTACCTACCTATATAGTTTAAGTTTAAAAAATTTGGCTCTCAAAATAAATTTCAATCGTTTTACTGTTGATATTTGGCTCTGTTGACTAATGAGTTTGCCAACCACTGGCCTAGCCGTTAGGAGACCTGACTTGTGGGTGGCTCCCTCTTCTGGGCCATTTCCCATCCCTAACACGTGAGGGCCTTCAGCCATGGAATCCGTGTCTGAGTGCTGAGCCCAGATACACTCTCATAACCTGAAGCTGGAGCCCTGGCCATCACAGATCCGAGCTATGAACCAGGTGGCTGTCACGAATGGGTACATAACATGGAACCTATTGGCTATTCCAGTCTTTATGTCTTCCCAACATCAAGGTTTGTCTTTTAGATAACTGTAAATTCTAAATTAGCCAATTATTTTGGCAACTACTTTTTTACTTCCCCTGGTATCTTTAGTGCCCAGCAATGGCCTGGCGCGGGTAGGGGTGCAGCAGAAATGCCTGTCAATTACCCAAAGTTTTGAAGATTCGGTGTATCCCTTCCCTATCAATCAAGCTGTGCACAGCAGGAATGGATAGGAGCTGCAATCTGTTTTCATGCGGAACAATTGAAAACAGTAAGTCACTGCTTCTCCACCTAGCCATTGGACTTCCAGCAACTTCTGAGACCAACTTCTGAGTCACCCAATAGAATCAAATAGAAAAAGCCCCAGGCAGTGGAATAACTGTGGACATGAAGCCCATGCATTTTATTCCATGAGTTATCGATTTGCTGAGTGGAGCATGGCAGCTGCAGTGGGTGGCCCAGGCTGGCAGGAACACAGCCTCGATGCCACTGCTTCCCTTTCTCTTGCTCAGGGCATGGCTTGTTTATCTGGCCACACCAGACCAGGAGGATAAGTAAGGGTGGTCTCTTCATACCCACCGACAGCAATGAGGAATCAGGGATAGTTGGCAGGAAGGGAGGACATGTGGAGTCACAGACTAAGGAGAAACACGGGCAGCCTTGGCGTTGGCAGTGCAGTCCTGGCCTTGAGACCCAGTGGTCGCAAGGTTAGTGCTCTCTTCTAAGGCAGGGAAGTCACGAGTTCTGGAAAAATCCCAGGAAATAGGAAAGAGGCAGCATAGCAAGAGTATAGGTTTTGGGACCAAATAGATGTGAATCCTGGTTCTTCTCCCTCCTCTCTATAGCAGGACACTGGCTTTCCCCTACCAGGCTGTTAGGAGGACCGGTTATGTACGTAAACATTTAGGTCAATGTCTGGCCTTCTGATGCTTAACAGCTGGTATTACTACAAATGAATTTGCTAGTTTGGAGCCCCTTCCATGCTTGCCTACTAAGCCTCCTCCCAGAATGTGTCCTAAGGGTGATCGTGTATTTACTTCAGAGCTGGATTTTTCAATTAAAATAACTACATTCTGCACTGCTTTGAGGGCAGGACTTGAATTCTCACCTGCTTGGAAGGCCTGAGGCAAGTGGGTTTTGCTGGCAATGGCCAGGGCTGTGAAACTGGCTGTGTTCCCTGACACAGGATCCCACTGTCCTGTAGCAGGTGCTCAGCACCACCAATTGCCCTGAGCACTGGAAAGAGATGGTCCATCCCAGGTTTCCCTCTTTATGCAAAGACCTTATGCAAGCACTTGACCTTTAAAAATTTTTATTTTTAATTTAATACACTCATAATGTCGTTTTGGAAGGAAGTTTAAATAAAAAATACAATTCAAATCACCATAGTCCTATGACTCAGATAAATACACTATTAATATTTTGTGAATTTATTTCTAGTTTTCCCTCCTTAGGATATACATATAAATATAGATGTTTATATGTTATAGATGGGTATTTTTAAGTATTATATTAAAGTACTTTGATATATGCTTTTCCCACTTTCTTGTATGGTGAGAACTTCCCTGTTAAATATTTTTTAAAAACATGGCTTTCTAGTTTTCTATCCCCTGAACTCTACGAGACTCAGGCTTTACCACTAAAAAAGCAGGGTCCAGTCTCTCCCAGAGGTTGTGTGAGGCTGCCGTGACTGTGACAAAGGTCCGTGCCAGCAGCACCTGGAGGCATGTGGCAGCAGAGGGAACTCCAGCAGCCACAGCACTGATTGAGCCGCAGTCTGGGTCCCTTCCTCGGTGCAGCTGTCAAAACCAGGACTAAGACAGGGCCCAGCCCTCACGGAGCTAGTGAGGGAGTGGATTGGCAGAACCCAGCACACGTCCGCAGTCCTGGTGCTGGAGCAATGGGAGCAACAAGAATATGGGCAGGGAGGCGCCTTAGATGGAGCCAGGCAGCCCCAGGGAAGCAGCTTTGACCTTCAGGCTGCAGCAAAGGCCCCACAGTGCCCTGGGGTCCTCTTCCCCCGGCCAGACCCTGCTGAGCAACCGGTCAGCGCTGTGCCGAGAAGCTGAGTCGGCGGCCAGGTTGCTGCTCCAGGCTGAGGCCTTCCTCCTGCCTGGCGGTCAGGTCCTTGGGCTCCTTGCCCTGGACTGAGCCCAGAGCCCAGTAAACCTTCCAGGGCATCATTATGACGGGGTAGGGGACAGACCAAGCCTCTGGCCCGGCTCCACCATGCTGTCCTGGGTGACTTCTGCAGTCATGTCCCGAGCCTTGGTTTGCCTCTGTAGAGGGTCCCAGTGTGGACACAATGAGATAACACCCATGGACACCCTGGGAAGGGCAGTGGCAGCCAATGACTCCACTCCTGCTAAGCTTCCCGAACTTAGGAAAATTGGCCTCAAACTCCTCAGGCCTCAGGGAAGAGCAGGAAGTGGCAGAGGCATTCTCACAGGAGTCAGTCCTTTCTGGGAGGCTGGCTGTGCTATTCTTCACATTCTTTCTTGGCTCCAGTAAAAGCCCTGAAATTGCTGCCATCAGCCCCAGGTCACTAACGCCTGCCGCCCTGTGACTGACCTGCGGGGGCTGCGTACAGTGTACACTGACGGGCCCTCTGCTTGGAGGGTCTCCTTTGGGAGCTCACCCCAGCCACAGGGAGCAGAAACTGGCCATTTACAGCCCTGTGACTGACCTGCGGGGGCTGCGTACAGTGTACACTGACGGGCCCTCTGCTTGGAGGGTCTCCTTTGGGAGCTCACCCCAGCCACAGGGAGCAGAAACTGGCCATTTACAGCAGAGGGAGCTCAGCCAAAGGCCGGGAGTCCAAGATGGAATCGAGAAGCCAGAATGCCATCGTCCCTCAGGAGGCGCTACCTTGGGATCACAGGGCCAGGGAGCAGCAGGCCTCTCCTGCCTCCTGGCGCATCCACATCTCAAGATTGAAAAAGCCAAGGTGCTGCCCTAGCTGGTTTGGCTCAGTGGATAGAGCATTGGCCTGCGGACTGAAGGGTCCCAGGTTCGATTCTGATCAAGGGCACTGCCAGGGTTTCGGGCTGGGTCCCTAGTAGGGGCTTACAGGAGGCAACCAATAAATGATTCTCTTTCATCACTAATGTTTCTCTCTCTCCCTCCCTGAAATCAATAAAAATTAAAAACAAAAACAAAAAACAGAGCAGTGGATTCTGCTCAGAGCCTTCCACAGGTGTGGGATCTTTAAAACCACCTGGTCAACCAGAACATGGAAGGGAGTGGAGAGAAGCTAGCCCACCTTGGCTCCAAGCAGTGGCTGCACACAGTAGGACCAGACTGTGAGCTCAGCATGGAGGTGGGACGATTTTATCTCCTTCAGGGGTCAGCACTTTCTGTAAAGGTTCAGGTAGTAAATTTGGGGGACTGCGTTGGTTAACTTTATGCTAACTAGGTTAGGTCACGCCATCCTGTATTTGGCTAAACACCAGCCCAGATGTTGCTGTGAAGGTACATTTCAGACGTGATGAACATTTAAACCTGCACAGCTGAAATAAAGCCGTTACCCTCTATAATAACGGACACCCTCCCCCAGTCCCAGTCCCACACAATTGAAGGCCTCAGGAGAGAAAGGACTGCGGCCACCCGTTTTTTTCTGGGACTTACTGATTTGGGAAAATAAACTGATTTTACCAGAAGAAACATCCAGGAGCCACACTGTGGCCTGGGAGAAGCCCCACGGCAAAGGCCTCATCCAAGGGAGGAGGAATCCTGCTTCCAGACGCCTTTGGACTTGAACTGCAACCTCAGCTCTGCCCCGGTCTCCAGCCTGCTGGTCTGCCACTCCCACAATCACAGGACAATTCTTAAAATAAACCTTTCTTTACGTAGGCATACATACAACGTCCTGTTGGTTGTTTCTCTGGAGAACTCTAATATTGGGACCATTCGACAGTGCTGCTGCAGTGAGAAAGCAGCCATAGACACCAAGTAAACAAATGATGTGTTTAATAAAACTTTATTCATAAAAATAGGCAGCAGGCTGGATTAGGCGCAGGTATGTGCTGACCTCCTGTCTCCTGACAAATAAGCATAGTATCTGGCATGGAAAAGGCACGTTGAGTTGTAAGTGTCATTTTTTAGTTCTGTAGAACAGAAGTGAAGTGAATCATTGAGAATCTTCAGTACGTGTGTTGACTATGACTAGCCAGCTTCAGTTTAACAGCAGGGGCAGCAGATGGGAACTCTTCCACAGTCCCTGACTTCCTGTGTCCTGACAAGGGTCTGCCAACAATGGCTTGAAGATACATCAGCTGGCATCTCAGGAACTACACCTCAGGCAGGAAGGACAAGTTGTGGGGAAGACACTGTGCCCTCCTTCCTGGCCTGCCTACCTCAGCATGACAGCTCAGCCAGAGGTGCAGGCTCCCAGGGACAAGCTGGAGGCAGCAATACAGGAACTCTGGTTTATTTTACCAGAAGAAACGCCCAGGGCCACACTGGAGAGGCCCTGCAGCAAAGGCCTAGAAAGCCACACACAGCCGTCCCCGTGGGGAGGGGGCCTGTGCGGGGTCCCGGCCCGCGGCCTCACGTGGGAAGAGCCAGAGGGAGGCCAGGCCGCGCCTGCAGAGGGGCTGCTCCACGCTGACCCCGTCTAACGAGGGCTGGGCCCGGGGCTGCGGATCCCGATGGCAGTGCTGTGCAGACAGCGCTCCTCACACGTACTCCCCACAGTCGGAGATGATCACCTTCTCCTTCGGCTTCCCGTCCTTGCTGCCCTGCGCCTTTGGGGGGAACAGACGAGAAGGGGGGAGGGTGAAGATTAAAGGGGCTCCCCCAGTCCCAGGCTGACAGAGCCGCCGCCTCCTGGAGCAGCGCCCCCTCCAGGCCACAGGACGCCGCCCCGCGGCCCCCGGGCCGTGCACCGGGGCCGGCAGCGCCCACCTCGATCTGCCGCAGGACGTCCAGGCCTTCCGTGACCTCCCCGAACACCACGTGCTTGCCGTCCAGCCAGTCCGTCTTGTCGCACGTCAGGAAGAACTGGGAGCCGTTGGTGTTTGGGCCGGAGTTGGCCATGGACAGCAGGCCTGGGGGGGACGAGCAGTCAGTCCCTCCACCCGGCTCCCTCAGCCAGGCCGACGCCGGGACGGACGGACCATGCGATGTCTGTCTTCCCCTCCGTGGGGAGCAGGGCTTCAGCCACTTTAGACGGATTTAACCTTCCACTCACTCAACAAGCACCGCCTGTCTGCTTTGTAGCCAGGCCCCAGCTCTGGGGAGCTCCGCCTCGTGGGAAAGTCACGAAAAGAGAGCCGTGCCGACAGCCATGCCGGAGGAGGCCGGGCACACAGGCCGCAGAGGCAGCCACAGGGACCGGTGCCGTGTGCTGTGCTGCCACGGAAGGTCTGGGGGGGCCCTCTGAGTGTGTCCACGGCCCAGGCCGGGGCTGAGGGCGGGCGGCACAGGCGCTGCAGCTGGTGCTGGCGGCGAGAAAGCCGCTTCCCGCCGGGCCTCTGCACGGCGCCCTGTGGATGGACCATGCACGTCCCACGCCATCTCAGTGCAGAGCAGGCAGGGTGCCGGACACCTAACAGACCAGCCTGCGGATGCTTTAAATAGTCAAGTACATTCTGACTTCCCCCTATTCACTAGCAGGGTCTCCTCAAGCACCGACCCCTGGCCATACCAAAGCGGCATCCCATCCCGCAGACATCCTGCCAGGCCAGCCCCTCCTCACACCCACGAATCAGCTCCCACCTGGTCCCGTGTGCTTGAGGATGAAGTTCTCATCATCGAACTTCCTCCCGTAGATGGACTTGCCCCCGGTGCCGTTGTGGTTGGTGAAATCGCCGCCCTGGCACATGAACTGGGGGATGATGCGGTGGAAGCTGCTCCCCTTGAAGCCAAAGCCCTTCTCGTGGGTGCACAGGCAACGGAAATTCTCTGGGGTTGAGGCAGGAAAGGTGCTCAGGTTAAGAAACAGGCAAACGAAACCTCCCTGTAACTAGACTCTGAAATCTCTATTTTTAAAAAGTTTTCACTCTGTTTTGTGATACTGACATCTTAAAGGACTACAGGGGATTCTAACCAAAGAGGGAAGAGTACATGCATTCTAGCTCCATTCCGCACTAACCTATTGGTAAAGTAATTAAAAAAAAAAAAAAAATACAAACAGGATCTTAGGGGCAAATCTTTGTGATTTTGGATTTGGCAACTGTTTCTTAAATACAACAGCAAAAGCATTGATAGAAGAAAAAATATATGAATTAGAACTTAATCAAAAATACAAACTTATATGCATCAAAGGACACTAATCATACCTGCTAAGGGTTTAATATTCAGTATGTATAACGAATTCCTACAACTCAACAAAAGACTGGAATACACATTTCTTCAAAGAAGATATTCAAGAGCTAACAAAGCACATGAAAAGATGCTCAACATTAGTTCTCAGGGAAATGTAGATCAAAACCATAGTGAGATGGCCTGGCCGGCATGGCTCAGTGGTTGAACGTTGGCTTATGAACCAACAGTCATGGTTCGATTCCCAGTGAGGGCACTTGCCCAGGTTGCAGGAGGTAGTCCATCAATGATTCTCTATCATCATTGATATTTCTCTCTCTCTCTCTCCCTTTCCACTCCTCTCTGAAATCAATAAAAATATAAATATAAAGCTTCAAAACGCACGCTCACACTATCAGTTACTAGATTTCCGGGTCCGCTGCTCAGGTCAGAAACAATGCCAAGGGCACAGAACCGAGGCCCCGGAGAACCTTGGGAAGGCGCGCCCAGCCAGCAGCTTCCTGCAGTCCCGACTGGACCTGCTCACCTGCCGTCATGGGAACGACGTCTGAGCGCAGGAGGATCTGGATGCGGCCGGCCGGCTTGTTCCCAATCTTGATGTCCATGTACACCTGAGGGTTTGACCGGGCCTTTTTGGCAGTGGGCTCTCCCTGGTGAAGAAGAAATCTCTGGGTTAGAGAGAACTCCCTGAGCAGGCAGCGATAGCCTTCTGCATATACACCCGGGACCCAAATGCAAGGAGCAGGCTGGAGTGAGGTGCCGACAGGGGAGGCCTGGGCCCTGGGGGCTGCAGGAGGCAGAGGCCATGGCCAGCACGGAATGGGACATCAGTGACAGGAGACCTCAGCATTGTCTAACTCCAGCCCACAGGCACGTTACCTCATCACACTGGGCCTCAGACGCAGGCTTACTTCACCCTCCCTGCAGTCATGGAATGACACTGTTCTGGCCCAAAGCAACTCTCAACACTTTAAGCACCAGCTCAAGCCCACTCACCTTACTCCAGTTAAACGGACCCTTTTATGTAGCACCATCCCTTCCTTCTATGCTTAGTTACGTGCACCCAAAGGCTGGCTACCGTGGAAGCAAGGAGGGCAGCCCCTGGCTTGGGCCTAAGTGCTCAGAGACAATGGAAGAGGTGGAGGGGGCCCTGCCTTATCCCCAAGGAGACAAAGCTAAGCAGAGGACAAGGAGACATTTAATACAGCCATCATATTTGTTCCATCATAAAAGTCAAAGATTCATAACGTGTCTGTGGTTTAGTTTAACAAATGTACTGAATATACTATTTCTGTCATTTGCTGCTAACAACAGCAGTAGCACCAAATACATAGCATTTGCATGCACAGAATACTAATCTAAACATTTTACGTATATTAGCTCATTTAATCCTCAGAATCACCCTAGGTCAGGACCACTACTATCCCCATTTTATAAATGGGAAACCGAGGCACACTGAAGTCAGTCACTTGCCCAAGATCACGGAGGTGGTAAGCAGTAAAGCTGGAATTCAAACCTAAACACTCACACAACACACCTAGTCCTTGCTCTTCATCACATCACCCAGCTGATATTTTTATTAACAAGATGCATAATACAAGGCCCCTATTTTCACAGTTTGCTGCTTTGAAAGAGAAAGGCGCCAAAACCGGTTTGGCTCAATAAATAGAGCGTCGGCTTGGGGACTGAAGGGTCCCGGGTTTGATTCCGGTCAAGGGCATGTACCTTGGTTGCGGGCACATCCCCAGTAGGGGGTGTGCAAGAGGCAGCTGATCGATGACTCTCTCATCGATGTTTCTAACTCTCTATTTCTCTCCCTCCCTCTCTGTACAAAATCAATAAAATATATTAAAGAAAAAAGAAAGAAAGAAAGAAAGAAAGAAAGAAAGAAAGAAAGAAAGAAAGAAAGAAAGAAAAAGGCAACAAGCACTTGAGTAGTCTGTACAAAACAGAGACGTAGAGGGAAATACAAAGCCTGGTTTTACCAAGTGGGGGCTGCAATGTGGAGGGGGAGGGGCAGGGTCAAGAACTTAGAGTCCCTCTTGACCTTTATCTTGTGGGACGGGTGATGGGGAGTCAGAAAAGTTATCAGTAGGAGAGTCACATGATTGGCCTTGTGCTTTAAAAAGATCAGTCTAGCCGAAGCCGGTTTGGTAGAGCGTCGGTCTGTGGACTGCGAGGTCCCAGGTTTGATTCCGGTCAAGGGCATGTACATTGGTTGCGGGCACATCCCCAATAGGGGGTGTGCAAGAGGCAGCTGGTCAATGTTTCTCTCTCATCGATGTTTCTAGCTCTCTATCTCTCTCCCTTCCTCTCTGTGAAAAAACAATAAAATATATTTTAAAATAAATAAGTAAATAAATAAAATAAAAAGATCAGTCTAGCCATCTTTAGAAAAGACTGGAGGAGAGCAAGATTCTAGCCAGAAGACTAGTTAGGGAGCTACTGTGATTATCCAAATGAGACGAAGCTAAATCAGGACGATGGGACAGAGAGGGGATTCAAGGAAGACTTAAGAGAAAAAGTAGCAGAATGTGACATGTTGCCTCTATTTTAAAGAGGCATCTAGATGATCTAGGGTTTTTGCACTGGCTGCGAGGGCATTCATATGCTCTGCTTTGTATCCAAATTTCTGGCTCAGGTCACCGTGTGGATGGATGGTGGCATGATGACAAGCTTGAGAATACAGAAGAACAGGATAGAGAAGGGAGAGCACCTGTTTCCGGAATCTGAAGCTGCCTGTGAGCTCTGCAGCACAATGTCTAAAGCTCAACACAAGACACAGACTGTGGAGGCAGTAGCACAGGGGAGTCTGCGAAAATCAGACTGGCTGCCACTATTTTGATCGAGAGAGAGCAGTGCCATGAGCCAAGAGAAGCAGCATTCACAAGAGAGGGAAAGGCTGAGGAGCAGTGCTCAGAGAGAGGTATGTGAGAACAGGAGCGAGGGCCCAGGTGGTCCCAGAGAGAGCGAGAGCCTCAGACCTGTGCAGAGGCTACAGGGATGGTACCGTTACCCTGTCCTCCCTCTCCTGTCGGGACAGGACTAGGAATACCCTGGACCTGTTGGAGGAGGGAGGACCAGGAGGAGCATTCACTACTCTTCCTCCTTGTCATGTGCCAATCACAACTCAGTACCTAAATTGAGCTAAGAAGCTGACAAGTTCATTGCCCAGAGCACAAGGATGGGAGGCTTAAAGCCTCTCGTTAGTTCCCTCAATAGCGCCTTCACCAATGTACCAGAGGTTCCTTTTCACCCTCTACTTGTGTATATGTATTTTCAAGTTTCCATAAAACTTTAAGAGAAGTCTCCTGTGGAAGCGCCAGCCTCTCCTCCAGAAGTGCGCCTTCCTCTCACCTCCTGAGCTTCTGCTTTGGGGGGCTCCGACCCCTCTTCCTCTTTATTCTCTTCCAGAGTCTTCCCAGAGAACTTCTTCAACCAGTCATCATCTGACCAAACTGAAGGGGAAGAATCAAACAAACGTCAAGAGATTCAAGCTTGTCCACGCCGGTTCGGCTCAGTGGATAGAGCGTCAACTCATAGACTAAAGGGCCCCAGGTTTGATTCTGGTCAAGGGCTTGATGCCCGGTCCTGATTGGGGAACATGCAGGAGGCAACCAACCAATGTGCCTCTCTCACACTGATGTTTCTCTCTCTGTCTCCCCGCCTCCTTTCCACTCTAAAATCAATGGAAAATATATTTGGGAAAAGTTAACAACAAAAGAGATCCCAGCTTTGAGCCCACTGCTAAGTAGCTGCTTTGGTCAGCCCAGTGGGACATACTCTGTGGCCTTCTCGGCCACCGATTCCGCCTGCGGAAGGCCAGTTCCCACGGGGAGTGTCAGTCCTGAGGCCCAGCGCTCAGCAGGGCTAAGGGACAAAGCCACACCAAAGGGAAAAGCGTAGTCTTGCCAGTTCTGGCCTTGGTGGAACTCCCCAGGAACGAGAAAGCTGGAAAGATAAGGGAGCAGGCAGGGTTTCTCCAAAATGGAAACAATTACCCTGAGAAGCTCAAACTCTTTTTATTTCCACAAAGGTGGCGCCTGCCCTTCGTCTGCTCCTGTCCACCAGGAGTGGCACTCAGCACCCACTTCCAAAAATGCAACTGAGGCCACCCTGGAGGACATGATGGGGGGCCGTGGTGGCCCCACTCACCTGGTCTGGAAGAGCCTTCCTTAATCCTCATTGGTTTGGCCAAATTGACTCGAATTGTCCGCCCAAAGAGCTCAGATTCATTCTGAAAAGATGGAAAATTCAGCTGCTTAAACTCTGTTAGGGTAAAAGAAAGTCAGACAGGTTTTCCATGCTCCAATCTGTTCTCCCTGAATCCCTGAGCTCCTAACAGCAAGCTCTGCACCCGCCGCAAAGCAGCCCTTGGGGAGCCGGGGGATGTCCCCTGGAACCGTCACCCACCTCCTTCCTTTCAACGCCAGAAAGAACTGTGCTACCGATAGTAACTCCGGTTCAGAGTTATGAGGGTGAATGTGGTTTCCATTACCCGAGTTCACCTTGGAAAGTCAAGATCAGCTTTGAAATGGTGAGAAATGATCTCTCTCTGCTAACTGAGGAATATGTTTGGCGAACAAGTAACAGAGACCAAGAATAAAGGGGAACCTTACTATCCAAAGATAATTGGTAGCAGGAAAGGACATTTGATGTGAATCCATTTAAAGCAGGGAAGAAAAATTTTATCATAAAAAGTAAAGAAAAAAAGGTTTGACTCCGACTTTACTGTGATGAAACTAAAAATAATGAAAATAAATTTCTTACAGTTCAAATTCAGGTTTAACTATGCAGGATTTGCAGAACACATATGCAGCGGGTGCTGATTAATTTGCAGTATATTTTCCAACAAAATTCTAAACCACAGGATGATAGGACACCTTTGCACTGCATATCTGACATTAAAAAGCACAGGGATCTCAAAGAGGGCACAAAGACTCCAGAACTGCCTCATTTTCCCCAAGGACCTCTCCAGGACATTCAAATCATTTGCATCAGTAGCACACCCTGTCATTATCCTTATTGAATTTCTCCGATCATTGTTAACTGGTCTAACGCTTCATGGAATCCTGCCTCTTTTGCAAAATATGCAACTTCACTGGGCAATCATTGCATAGTGTTTCCAATTTATCATCCTGGACATGGGGTAGTCAGTGAGGGGTTGGCCAATAAGGATGATTAGTATTTATATTATTGTTAATGGGGACAGATTTTTGAGTGAGGATTAGTCTTATAAGTGATTAATTCACAGGAATATTTTCATATGATGACAGTTTTTACTTCCCCATGCAACCTTGTGACTTTGGAGGTTCAACAAACCAATATATGAACAAGGAGCCCTCTGTGCCACCAAAACCAATAGCAGTAAGAATGAAGATTCCCGGATATACCATGTTGTCGATGGCTGCTGCAGCATCCTGCCAAGAAAAGACAAAGTACAAGTTTAGCTTCTTGTGGTGTCTAAATATATGCTAAGTAGCAAAAATAACCTCCACAAAAAAAATCACAACAGGAAAAAGTCACCCCTATAGTTCCCGCCTAGGTTGCATATGTGTCTGACAGAGCACTTCCTGGCTGGCTTCAGAGGTGGTGGTGCGGCCATCTGCCATCTAGTGGAAGGCATAAGAAATAACCACCAGTGCTGCCAGGCCAGGAGGCTCCATGAGCGGGGCTGCAGGCGCTCTGCAGAGTAAGAGGGGGACCTGGCTGGTCTGCAGTGTTAACCACAGTCTATGGTTTGAGTAAGTGTAGGAAGTGTTTCTTCAGACAGCACTTCTTGTCCTCTGGAAGCATCAGCATGAGGCCCAGAAACCCAACCAAATGGGACACTGCTCCCTTAGTAATCAGTAATAACACTAACACGTGCCCAAAATGAAACATAGGTTAACGGAATTTTCTCACCTCTGCCAACTCAAATTCAACAAAAGCAAATCCTCGGTGCTTTTCTGAAAAAAAAAAAAAAAAAAAAGGGAAAACAAAAACAAGTAATTACCCTTAAGGGCAAGAGGAAAGTGAAGCCAGGGACAAGCCATATCCAGACATTAGAAATTCTACCAAATCCCTACTTCAGAAGAAGAAATCTCATTCTTTAACTTTTCCTAGTTTAAACATTTCAAGTTTTTACAAGTTGTTTTTTTAGTGAACATAGCTCAATAATGAACTATACTTTTAATCTTTACACTTGATCTTAGCCAAAAGGCCGAGAAGCGATATATACTTTTAATCTTTAAAGTAAGTTTTCAGCCGGGACCGGTTTGGCTCAGTGGATAGAGCGTCGGCCTGTGGACTGAAAGGTCCCGGGTTCGATTCCGGGCAAGGGCATGTACCTTGGTTGCGGGCACATCCCCGGTGGGGGGTGTGCAAGAGGCAGCTGATTGATGATTCTCTCTCATCGATGTTTCTAACTCTCTATCCCTCTCTCTTCCTCTCTGTGAAAAATCAATAAAATATATTTTAATAAAAAAAAAAGTAAGTTTTCAATTTTTTCTATGAAAACCTTAACCTTTGCATGCAAGGCAACAAGAAAAAGGAAGTCATTTAAACTATTCGTTCCAAATATACATTTAAAATATATATATATATATATTTTTTATTGATTTTTACAGAGAGGAAGAAAGTGGGACAGAGAGTCAGAAACATCGATGAGAGGGAAACATAGATCAGCCACCTCCTGCACACCTCCTACTGAGGATATGCCCGCAACCAAGGAACATGCCCTTAACCGGAATCGAACCTGGGACCCTTCAGTCTGCAGGCCGACGCTCTATCCACTGAGCCAAACCAGTTAAGAGTTAAATATACATTTTGAGCATCACCTGTACATAAAGCATGAACCTGGATAAGGATACTTACTCTTTACCCTCAGGAAAATGCTGATCTATCTAAAAAGGCCAAGCTTAGCAGGGTTAATTTAATTGACCAACTAACTCTAGAGAATCAATAAAGCCTTACTGTTTTTTTTTTACTGATAAAGATCCTATGCCCAGAAGATTTAAAGGCCTTGCTTAACAACCATGCAGGGTCAACGATAGAGCTGGGCCTGAAACTCCAATCTTAAAAATGATAACAAAGGTAAAATAGAAAACTGAACAGTAACTGCGATACCTATGAAAGGAAACGTACCCAGGTGCACAGAGGCCAAGGCCCCATTGTCAGGGCAGGCTTTCCTGCTGCCCGTTTATAGCACCGCTGCCAAGGTGGGAGCAGCTGTGGCGAGGTCCCCCGTAGATAGTTTGAAACAACATTCAGGGCCACTTTGAGCCCCAAATCTAACTTCCTACTCAAGCTCTACCCTCCTACCGGGCTACTGAAAATAGTTTTACCTCAAATCCAATAGATGGGACGCGGCAGAGTTAGGTTACAGTTCACAACCACAAGCCTCAGAACCTTCCTTCTGCATCAAGATCACTGTCAGGCTACCCTCCCGAGGCACCCTCCAGAACTTTCCGACATTCCAGCCGTGTCATATACGGCCATTACAGAAATGTTTGTTATTTCCTCAGTAGGATTCTGGCCGTAAGAGACACTAAAAGGACTCACCGGTTTCATAATCCAGAGGAATCTGAATATCTGTGATGTCTCCAAAAGGGATAAAAGCAGCATGAAGAACTTTGTCGTCTACCTCCTCTGCAAGTCCACCTGCAAAGAAGCCAAGGGCCTTCTGGGCCACTGACCTTGATTCTCTGGAGAAGTCCCTGCAGCCCAGTTTGCATCCTCTAGCTAAGGGGAGGGGTCCTTCCATCCAGTCCTTTGGGTACGTAAGTACTCTCAACTGCTCCTTCACCCACCCTTACACATCACACTTGCTCTCTTCACCCTTCTTGCACACCCTCATCGAGTCCCAAAATTATTGCAATAGCTTAACTGATTTTCCTCTCCTCCCCAGAGTCAACTGGACGGATCCTGGGAATGTGCGGATTTTAACCCATCACTTCCCTGCTTAAACTCCTTCAAAGGTTCCCTACTTTCCTCAGGATCAAGTACAAACTCTTCTGCAGGCTTTTCACCCCTGGAGCCCTCCCCACCTCTTCAGCTGTTCCCCCCTCTGCTTCCCCAGTTCTCTGGGTTCCCTAAAATGACCCGCTTGCTCAGAAAGTGTAAAGCTATTTCACACGTTTGGGCTTTTGCTCTTGCTGCTCCCTTTCAGTAACTACACTTGCCCCTATTTTGACTACCTGGCTAACACGGGATCATCAGCTCCAGCCTCACAGCAGCTCGAAAGTCTGCTCTCACCTCTCCAGACGGAGGGATCATTTCTCCCGCACCCAGACCCATGTCATCATGTCATCGAAGTCCGTCCCCGCCAGAGCAGCCACCAAACGGTGCTGCTGAAGTGATCCTCCCTTCTGCCTGGCTACCCTGGGGAGCCTTCCTCCGGGGCCTGGGTTGAGCCCCCGTTGCAAGCGAAAGTTGGTAAAATAAACGGGCGCAGGGACGTGGAAGCCCATACTAATATTCCCCTACCAATCCCCCGGATCCAGGAGGTAAAGGAAGGGGTGCCTGTTAGAGGTTAGGGGGCTTGGGAGGGAACCAGGAAGACCTTTGCGTCTCGGGCTCACACCTGGAGCAAAGCAGGACCGCCATAGGTCCCTCCCGGACAGCTACTCGCCGCCCGCCGCCTCGGGCCCCGCGCCCAGACCCTGCCCGGTGCCCGCGATGCTCACCCACGTACAGCACACGCTTGGTAGTGGCCATCTTGCTCCCGCGCTCTTCCTCCGGAAGTCGGCGCCCGGCCCGCCCCCTTCCCAGGCCCCGCCCCCTTCCCAGGCCCCGCCCCGCGTCTCCGTGCTCGCAGGCCCCGCCCCCTCCGGGCGCCGGGGCTGCCTCTGGCTCTTAGGGAAGGGCTGGCACCCTGGCAGGTGCACCCGGTGGGAGAGCCGCGTGGTCCGGGCCGCCGGGTGCTCAGTGCTGCTGGACACAATCCTGGGCCCAATCCGCCCGGGTCCGCAAGTCATAAACTGAGAAGGCTAACACATATTTTGTAAAATTACTGTTGGAAATTCTCTGCTATTTTCTTAGACAGCCTCTTATTCTAAAACAACAACAACAAACAAACAAACTTTGCTTTCTAGCCTGCTTCAGCCTGCTTGAATAATGAGGAAGATAAACTTAGCTGTCTGACCTGGTAGGCCAGAGACTATTGATAGATAGGCTCACACTTTCAATGCCATGCCAGGTGCTTTTTTAATTGAATAGAATCATGTTGTTTTCAAGGCCAGAAGCGAGATTAACCACTAAGCACACATAGAGCTGGCTCTTTATTTCTTTAATTTTTTAAAAATAAATTTTATTGATTTTTTATAGAGAGAAAGGAAGAGGGATAGAGTGTTAGAAACATCAATGGGAGAGAAACATTGATCAGCTGCCTCCTGCACAACCTCCTCTGGGCATGTGCCCGCAACCAGGGTACATGCCCTTGACTGGAATCGAACCCGGGACCTTTCAGTCTGAAGGCCGACGCTCTATCCACTGAGCCAAAAATAGTTAGGGCTCTTTAATAAAAAGGGAAGTTCTGCTTGTAGCTTTGGTTAGAATTTGAATTCATTTTCTCTGAGCCCACCGCGGTGAATAAAGTGTGACTCCAAACTAAGAGCATTGTTTGATTTATTCCCGTTTCCTGTCACAAAACTACTACAAATAAACTACGGTCCTCGGGCCAACAACCTGCAAGCGAGGGCTGGTTTTTACATTTTCAAACGCTTGGGAAAAACATTAAAACAAGAATGGCTCGTGACACATGAAAATGTATAAAATGCAATTTTCAGGGTCTGCAAGTAAGGCTTATGGGAACACAGTTGTGCTTATTCCTAAAAGTATTGTCAGTGGCTGCTTTCGCACTACTGGGGCAAGAGGCCTATGGCCACCCTTAGCTCTGTAGGAGAAAAGTGCCTGGGCTCCTGGTGTAAACCATCTAATACAGGCAGTTCTCGAGTTAGGTTACGGACGTCGTTTTGTGGTTACGTCGCCATTTCCCATTTACAGTATTTTTTTTTTAAGTTTCATCATTTTAAAAATATATATATATTATTGATTTTTTTACAGAGGGGAAGGGAGAGGGATAGAGAGTTAGAAACATCGATGAGAGAGAATCATCAGCTGCCTCTTGCACACCCCCTACTGGGGATGTGCCCGCAACCAATGTACATGCCCTTGACCGGAATCGAACCCGGGACCTTTCAGTCCGCAGACCAACGCTCTATCCACTGAGCCAAACTGGTTTCGGCTAAAGTTTCATCATTTTGACACATGTACATATGTGCTTTGGCCAGTGGTCTTTGTTTGTTTACCCCAAATAAAGACCAGGAATTGTTATCTTTCTTTTAAATTTTTTATACTGTTTCACTTCATTACTGCTGTGTATGGGCTCCATGTGAGTGACATAGGTGCTTATGTAGGTGGGTTCTGACTTACAAGAAAATCGCATTACGTGCCACTGTAGGAACGGATCTCTGACGTAACCCGAGGACCTACTGTACATAAGCCACAGACAGATGTGGTAGAAAATGATGGGGCCACCTGTCTCAGATAGAGTAGTGGTTATGACCTCCCTGAAGTCACATGTAAGCTGAAACCTGGAGGAAGGGGAGCCTGAGAGAGGAGGAAGCGGGGGAAAGGGTTTAGGGAGAGGAGACAGCTTCTGCACACTTGGGAACAAAAAGCCAGAGCGTGGGGCACATGACATCTGGCAGGGAAGGTGGGCAGGAGCCACACCATGCAGGTCCCTGTAAGCCGCGTGGAGGATTTGGGAGCCTTAAGAAGCTACCAAAGATTGTAACTGGAGGAGTTCGTGGTCACATTTATGTTCTAAAACGTGCTCTCTGGAGTGAGTCAGTGTGTGTGGGGGTAGAGGACAAAAATATATACTTTCAACAATAAAGAATTATTTAAAATACATACATACATACATACATACACCATGTACTCTCTCTGACCACTGCCCAGGATGGAGAAGCTGAGCTGTGGAGGTCAGGAGGCTGATGCAGCAGACTAAGGAAGAGTTGATGGTGGCTGTCTCCCTCCAGTCCTAACCTGATCGAAGTGAGGACAGCTCAACCCTTCAATACCTGAATGCTACCATTCAGAATTCCAGGGGCGAGGAAGGAGCAAAGTCAGTCCTCTGAGAGAGGAGTGGTGGGAATATAAAACAATCATATAAACTCTCATCTGTGTACATTCAGGTGTATAATGAAATGCCATGTGATCAGAAGGAGGGAGTGAAATGAGCACCTGCTCTGTGTCAGGCCTAGTGCTGGACAACTGTTTACAGACGTGTCGTCCTCACAGACTTTTTCAGGGACACATTAACATCCCATTGACCTACCACACCCACTGAGCTCAAGTAGTTTGCTTACATTAGCAAATAATGCCTGAGCATTTATTGAGTATACAAAACTGCAATAACTGACTTCAGTGGCAGCTCTTTTCTAAAGATTACATTATTCCTTTCAGAGGGATCCCCCAAAGCGACCGGTCCAAAGGGGATGCGTATCAAAACAGTTATCATTAGTATAACCACCCTACCTCTCTCATAAAATGTTCTAGAAACACTCGATGTTCCTAGATGTCAATGTTTAGATGATTCTTTGAGGTTAATGATGATCTCAAGCCTAAAAGTAGGTTCTGAGGCTACAGAAAATATTTTTTTAAAATCCATTAAGCCGAAACTGGTTTGGTTCAGTGGATAGAGCGTCAGCCTGTGGACTGAAAGGTCCCAGGTTCGATTCTGGTCAAGGGCATGTACCTTGGTTGCAGGCACATCCCCAGTAGGGGATGTGCAGGAGGCAGCTGGTCCATATTTCTCTCTCATCGATGTTTCTAGCTCTCTATCCCTTTCCCTTACTCTCTGTAAAAAAATCAATTTTATATATATATATATATATATATATATATATATATATATATCCCCTTCTACTGCTAGGGAAAGCATTCTGAGAGCAGAAACCTTGTCAATTTGTTTACCACTGCCGCTCCAGCCCACACGGCACCATCCCTTGGCACTGAGTGGAGTGTTAATATCTGATGAATGAAGCCGAGAAAAGCTTCTTTCAAATAACGTTGAAATGGAAAATTCTATTAATAGCACGTTGGGTGCCTGATCCTCCTCTGCCGAGGCTGAATCACAGGACGTGGGCTGCCATCACTGGAGGTGCGTTTACATGGGGAACAGCCCAGGGAGCATGGGCAGGTGCGAAGTGCTGCAAGCAGTGGAACAACTGAAGAAAGGAACAAGCCAAACTGAAGCCCATCCATCACTGGCAACCACCGTCTCCAGGAGGCCTCCTCCCTTTGATTCAGCGGTTGAACCCTGGAGACTCATTGGTCGAATGAACAAGGGGGCGGGGTTTCTGGAACAAGGGGGCGGGTCCAGGACAACAGGTAGAAGATAAGACATTCTCTCTGCTAGCCAGGGACACTTTTCTTCACTGGCGACAGGAGAAGCTGATGTCCGGGTCTGCCAGAACCTAGAGCCTGTGGTCACGTTTCCTGCCTTTCCCTCTCATCATATCATAGCCCTGGATCCACCAGTGACCTAGACTCCAGCCCCAGCTATGGCAGGTTCCAGGTTCTCATTCAGTGGTTCTGAACTTGAGCAGGCATCAGAATCACCTGGTGGGCTTATTAAAACATAGATTTCTGGCCTCCACTCCCAGAGTTGCTGATTTAGTACGTCCCAAGTGGGACTGGGAATGAGTGACACAGCCTGCTGGCTGGGGAGGCACACTTTGAGAACCACTTTTTCCAAAAAAAAGTTAACATATGAGTATAGCCAGGACCATGTTGCTCAGTGGTTGAGCATCAACCCATAAACCAAGAAGTCACGGTTCAATTCCCTGTCAGGGCACATGTCTGGGTTGCCAGCTCGATTGCCAGTAGAGGGGAGTGCAGGAAGCAGCCAATCAATGATTCTCTCTCGTCATTGGTATTTCTATCTCTCCCTTCCTTTTTGAAATCAATTAAAAAATTTTTTTTAATCTAAAAAAAAAAAAAGATCAGGGCTGTATAAGCAATATACTATGGGTACAAACAATAAAGAGGTGTGTTGTCTATAAAAAAATTTCCAAGCAATAATAAGACAACTAAAAAATCGATCATCATCGTCATCATGTCCAGACAACTCTGAACAATAGGAACTATAAAATACCCTTTCTGGAAAAAACTTTCAATGGTCTAAGTTGAAATAAGTCCTGTGACTACTCTTGAATATGGCTCAAATTAGCAGAATTTTATCACTTAGCCTTTATAAATATTGTATTCTCTATAAAAGCTAACTTTGGACTTTATTTATGCAGTCAGTCCCCAACAAACTTAGACTCAGCTACATACAAATATTTGGAGAAGAAGTTCTTGTTGGTTCAGAATGGTTTGCGCTCCTTCAAACTCAGTTTGGGCACAATTTGTGTTTAACCCTTCTGTTACTACAGATTCCTGCATTTAAACAGTGATTTTTCTTTTGTATGTAATTTTTTCTTTTCCAAGTTATCTTTTCTTCTGCAGTGAGGTTTTAAATATATTTTATTTATTCCAGAGAGAAAGGGAGAGTGAGAGTGAAAGTGAGATAGAAACATCAATAATGAGAATCATTGATCGGCTGCCTCCTGCACGCCCCCTATTGGGGATTGAGACCACAACCTGGAGCATGTGCCCAGACCAGGAATCAAACCATGACTTCCTGTTCATAAGTCAGTGCTCAAACA